TCAAACAGAACCTCAGAATGAGAGAAGGGAGTCTTTGTCTTCATCAGAAGGAGGAGATAAAGCAGCTGTGAATAATCGTGGTGAGGAAAAGCAAGCTGTGGAAGACTCACATAATTCTGACACTAAAACGATTGCAGGTATTCCTGGTAATTCACAAAACACCAATAACGCAGAACAAGAACAGCTGACTGAAAGTGCGCAGAGCTCTAACGCAGCAAATGGTACACATGGCAAAGACGGTGCAGAGAACAGTAATACACAACCTCAACAAGGTTCTGGTATAGAATCACCTTCCGACTCACCTTTAAACAACACTACAACCGATAATAATACCTCAGCGAACACGGACTCCAACGATGCAAATGCACCCATTAATGAGGAATCAACCACCACAACAACAACACTTCCTCCTGAACTCACAAACAATAAGAAGGGTGATGCAGACAGCAGCAGCAGTATCAGCAGTTCTGTGTGGGTGCGTGTACCACTACTGATTGTGGTTACACTGGCCTGTATTCTTGTGTGCTGATTGTAATGGTGTGGTGGTGTGACTCAGGTCATCCTTTGTTTTCTTTTTTTTTTTTTTTGCATGCATCCCTACAGTCTAACTAATCTTCCACCTGTTGGGATTTTCTTCTTTTTTTAATGTTAATGTGTTTTGTGTTTTGTGTGCTTTTACTCTCTGTGTTTATCCTATAATAATTATTATTGCTACTCCATTGTGTGTGTGTGTGTTCTTGGAGATTCTCTCTGTGTGTGTGCACCTGGGCTTGTACTGTGATGATAATGATGATGAACTGTTTTTTGCAGTGAAAAGAAAAAGAAATAATAATAACAGATGAATTTATATTTATAATTGCTTATATATATGCACATATAGAGTTACACCCATAGTTGGTGTACATTTCTATGTTTATTGGGAAAGTGGGCTGAAGGTTAATATGTTTCTGTTTCTTTGCTTGTGGTTCCCTCTGTTTTTTTTTTGCAGAGAAAAAAAATGTATTAATTGATATTTGTGTTGTTAATTGCATACACACACCAGCTTATCTAGAGTTCAGTGATATGTTTGTGCGATTGGTGCTTCTCTCAGTTTTTCTTGTTTCTTTTTCTTTTTGTGGGTGCTGTGTGCTTTGTCCTGTACTGTGTTGTTGGATTGGGTTATGAGGAAAAACAATAATAAGGAATACACATATATTCATAATTGTGTACGTGGTTCGACTGGAAGTGAAAATCTTTTGTATTTCTATGCTTTGTGCTTCTGATGGTCGTTCTCTCAATGCTTTTTCGCTTTTGAGGGATTAATTGGTATTATCTCTTTTCCGTACTTGGTATTGTGTTCTTTGTTGGGCTCTTTAGTATTTGTGCGCGTTGCCTTGTCTTGTGATTTTCCTAAGATTTGTTTTTTATGTTTTCTCCATTTTTCCTTCTGTGTGTGTATCTATTTTATTTCCTTATTGGGTTCTGTTAACCTTTTTCGAGTTTTGGTTTCATTGAACGATTCAAGTAACGTTTTTCCATGATGTTGCTGCGACGACTGTTGTATTTTATTGCACTTTTTTTGAGTGTTGCCTGCGTGTGTGTGGTGGCTGGAGAGACTGGAGAACAGGCAGAAAATACATGTACTGATTCCTCAACTGTATCTAATGATGGTGGTGGTTGTGATACAGGCAAGAAGGGTTGCAAGTGTGAAAATAAACCCAGTGAAGCTCCGCGTACTGAGTGTACGGAACCTGAGAAGGAGAAATGCAGTAACGAGGATGGTGGTAGTGAAGGAGAGTGCCGTAAAGATACTACACCTCCTTGTCGACCAAAAGAACCAGCTCCCACTTCACCAAAGGAACCAGCTCCAACTACAAGGGTGTCTGATGCATCTGGTGGACATCCTGGTGCTGTTGGACAAGTTAAAGGAGATGGTGTTGGAGGAGGAGGAAGTGGAATGGGAGGAATAAGTGATCCTGCGAGACACTCATCACAACTACAGCAACAACAACAACTTCAAGGAGGCGGTCAAGGTCACGTTGCAGGAGAGGAAATAAAAGATGGTCTTGCTGAACGTAAGCCCGATGCAACTGAAAAAAGGGATAGGGATGAAAACTCTGCATTGAAACAACAGGGTGAAGAAGTACTTCATGAAACAGCAAAAGGCCAATCAGTTATTACGAACCCTTCCCTTACCGCACAGCAATCCGCCCCGAAAGAAATTGCTGCACCCCAAGGTCCCACAGTTACTTCTACTACTCCTACTACTACTGGTAGTCCTGCTGATCCTCTTGGTACGTCGTCAGAAAAACAGACACTTGAAGTACAACGTGGGAGTGAAAAGGATGGTCAAGATACAGTGGACTCTGCTAATTCACAGAGCCAGAATATCAACGCTGATGAACAGGCGTCTGAAGGTACACAGTCTAAAGAAGGTATTGACACACAATCAAATGCTGAGAATGGCACTACAACTGCAGAAAGTGAATCAACAAACAACACAGGTGATATGGGTAATACAGATACAACCACCACCACCACCACTACTACAACAACAACACTTCCTCCTGAACTCACAAACAACAAGAAGGGTGATGCAGACAGCAGCAACAGTATCAGCAGTTCTGTGTGGGTGCGTGTACCACTACTGATTGTGGTTACACTGGCCTGTATTCTTGTGTGCTGATTGTAATGGTGGTAGTGTAGTGTGACTCAGGTCATCCTTTGTTTTCTTTTCTTCTTTTTTTGCATGTATCCCTACAATCTAACTAATCTTCTACCTGTTGGGATTCTCTTCTTTTTTTGTTTCTTATTGTTAATGTGTGTTTTGTGTGTGTTTTTGCTCTCTTTGTGTTTATCCTATAATAATTATTATTGTTGCTACTCCATTGTGTGTGTGTGTGTTCTTGGGGACTATCTCTGTGTGCACCTGGGCTTGTACTGTGATAATGACGATGAACTGCTTTTTGTAGTGAGAAAAAAGAGAAATAATACTAACAGATGAATTTATATTTATAATTGCTTATACACACATATATAGACTTACACCCATAGTTGGTATATTTCTGTTTGTTTACTGGATAAATTGGGCTAATGGTTAATATCTGTTTCTTTGCTTGATGATTTTGCTGGGTGGTTCAGCCTTTTTTGAGATATTTGTGAGTGTGGGCTTTTGTTTTTGTTTTTACTCTTACTGAGGTTATTGCGCTGTATTGCATTCTTTAACTGGTAGGTTTTTATTTTTTTGGTGTGAGTTTCCATAGTGGTAATCGATTGGTGTGTCCTAACATGTTTGATACTTTAGTTATTTTCTTTCTTTACTTTTTCATTTTCTTTCTTTCTAGATCAGTGTTTTTACGTGTAACAAACTATTGTCTCTCTTATGATGATGATGAGCCGTGTGATGTGTGTGTTGGCCGTTGTGCTGTGCTGCCCCTGCGGGTATACCATGGCGGAACCTGCTTCTGCCGAAAAGAAGCATCGCGACGGTGATTTTATATTGGGCGAATTTCCTGTTATTACGAAAGATGACAGTAATCGGGAGATACGATGGAGGTGTGAGAAAAACAGTTTTGCTTTTATTAATGGGAAAAATTGTACGGAGTTGGGGTTCGTTCGGGAAACTGCTCCTTCACCTCCGGATGTTTCACAGCCAAATGATAGTCTCCAACCCGGTGATCCAGCAGCTAAAGTAGAAACAGGAAAGCCAGTGGTTATATCACAAGATGGTCGTGATAGTGATTTGCCACCCAGTGTCCCTGAGGGTTCTGAAGCACAACATCAGTCGGTTAAAGGAGAAACAGCAACAAGTCCGTCGACAGCAGAAAGCCAAACTCAGGGGTCTACTCCATCTACAAAAGGTGATGCAGCACCCCAAGGTGATCAAGGAACACCGAGCAACACATCTGATAACAGTAAACCTGCCGATTCTAATGCTACCCAGCAATCTTCTCCTGTTCTTGATGCGACTGCCGTACCAGACTCACAAGAAACCAATACCACTACTCTGCCGAGCACCGATAACACTACCACAGAAGCACCAACCACCACTCCATCTCCTGTACCCAACGCAGAGATTAACAATATCGCTTCCACCCTGCAGAAGAACAGACCCAATGTTGACAGCAGTATCAGTCCTGTGTGGATGCGCACTGCAGCACCGCTGTTGATTGTGGCTGTGTTGTTCTCCGCTACTGTGTACTGAACGGTGGGACTCATCTGAGGGTAAATAATAATAATAATGGTTAAACTACCATAATCATAATTGCGTACATCCCCCATGGGTGAATGAACTAATAATCTGTTTACCAGCTTTCTCTTTTAATTGGAATATCTTTTCTTTTCTTTTACTTTTATGTGTGTTCTTTTTCTAATAATTTCATTACTTGCTTTTCCCGTTGTGTGTTTGTAGAAAACTGGGCTGTTCTGCTCACTGACGGTATACATCTCTTGCTAGTACACACAGATGTGTGTGTGTGCAGTAATTTAATATACATAAACTAGA